AAAAGTTCTCAAGACCCTCCTGGATAATGGGATTTAGTTTTAAGTTCTCAGGACCTTCCTGTATAATGGGATTTAGTTTTAAGTTTTCAGAACCCTCCTGGATAATGGGATTTAGTTTTAAGTTCTCAGGACCTTCCTGTATAATGGGATTTAGTTTTAAGTTTTCAGAACCCTCCTGGATAATGGGATTTAGTTTTAAGTTCTCAGGACCTTCCTGTATAATGGGATTTAGTTTTAAGTTTTCAGAACCCTCCTGGATAATGGGATTTAGTTTTAAGTTCTCAGGACCTTCCTGTATAATGGGATTTAGTTTTAAGTTTTCAGAACCCTCCTGGATAATGGGATTTAGTTTTAAGTTCTCAGGACCTTCCTGTATAATGGGATTTAGTTTTAAGTTTTCAGAACCCTCCTGGATAATGGGATTTAGTTTTAAGTTCTCAGGACCCTCCTGGATAATGAGATTTAGTTTTTAAGTTTTCAGGACCCTCTTGAATAATGAGATTTAGTTTAAAATTTTCAGGACCCACCTGGATAAAGGAATTTAATTTTAAAAGTTCTTAGGATCCTCCTGGATAATAGGATTTAGTTTTAAGTTCTCAGGACCCTCCTGGATAATGGGATTTAGTTTTTTTAAGTTTTTAGGACCCTCATGGATAATGGGATTTAGTTTTTAAATTCTCAAGACCCTCCTGGATAATGAAATTTAATTTAAAAATCTCAGGACCCTCCTGGATAATGGAATTTAGTTTTTAAATTCTCATAACGCTCCTTGATAATTGGATTTAATTTAAAATTTTCAGGACCCTCCTGGATAATGTGATTTAATTTTAAAGGTTCTCAGGACCCTCTTGGATTATGGGATTTAGTTTTTAAGTTTTCAGGACCCTCCTGGATAATGGGATTTAATTTTAAAATTTCAGGGCCCTCCTGGATAATGGGATTTAATCTTAAAAATTCTCAGGACCGTCCTGGACAATGACACTTAGTTAAAATTCTAAACATTCATGAGTAACAAGATCTAGCTAGGCTCTACCTTGAGGAAATATAAGTTTGGCTTTGAAGTTTTCATGCTTAGGATAAGATTCAATTTGAAATTTTAAGGACCCTCCTGAATAATGGGCCTTAGTTTAATACCTCCCTTAGATGCTAAGATTTAGCATACGTTTCACCGTCAGGAAGTTGAATTTAGCTCTGAAATTTTCACCCATAAGATGAGATTTGATTTTAAATTTCAGGAACCTCCTGGATAATGAGATTTAGTTTTAAGGTCTTCATAGATAACAAGATTTAGCGGAAGTTGTACCTTTAGGAAATATAACTTAGATTTAAAACTGTCATATAACAAGGAGTTTTCAGGACCCTCCTGAATAATGGGATCTAGCTTTTAAAATTCTTTGAGATTTTCTGGTAACATAATTCAATTAACACTCACAGATGCGCCCAGCACCAAACTGGGGCAGAAGTTTTCTTTGTTTTTGTCTATTTTGTGGAAATCAGGCGCCCACCTGGAGAACAAGGGAATACATTTTCAAAGTTCAGCAATCAGGCCCCCACTTGGAGAACAAGGGAATACATTTCAAGTTCAGCAATCAGGCGCCCACCTGGAGAACAAGGGAGCATAGTTCAAGTTTCAATTTTCAAGTTCTTACTGATATTTGGTAGCATGCCAAACTGGGGCAGAAGTTTTCCTTGTTTTTGTCTATTTTTTTTTAAATCAGGCGCCCACCTGGAGAACAAGGGAATACATTTCAAGTTCAACAATCAGGCGCCCACATGGAAAACAAGGGAATACATTTCAAGTTCAGCAATCAGGCGCCCACCTAGAGAACAAGGGAATACATTTCAAGTTCAGCAATCAGGCGCCCACCTGAAGAACAAGGGAATACATTTCAAGCGGCAGAAATTTTCTTTGTTTTGTCTATATTGTGGAAATCAGGCGCCCACCTGGAGAACGAGGGAATACATTTCAAGTTTCAGCAATCAGGCACCCACCTGAAGAACAAGGGAATACATTTCAACAATCAGAAGCCCACCTGGAGAACAAGGGAACACAGAAAGTTTCAGTAATCAGGCACCCACCTGCAGAACAAGGGAAGACAATTCAAGTGTCAAGGGAACGTAGTTCCGAAGGAAGACAATTCAAGATTTGGCAATCAGACACCCACCTGGAAAACAAGGGAATTCACTTTAGAATGCAATTCAAGTCAGCAACAAAAAAAAGCTCGCGGCAGTAATGCGAGTCAACAGTCCGAGATGATCAACGGAAGTTAGTCACAATCCAGAATAATAATAAAAAAAAAGGCAAGAAGTGAATCCAAATGCAGAAATTGATGAAGGATGTGAGCTGCTCAAGACATGACCGAGGTCACAAGCACTGCATGCCTGGTCTTGATCCGAAAAGCTGAAGAAGGAGGAACTAGCACCTGCAACTAGCAAGCATCAAGGTTCAAATCTAAAGTCTGCATGAAGAACCACTCAAGACTAAAAATCAAGCTTCGGAAGACTTATAGATAGGAATTTTGTAACTCGTAGTTGATAGGCTTAGCTAGTCTTTTTCATGTTTTGATTTTTGGTGTAACATCAGGACCGCGGACCGGAACCTCAGCGGAACGGCACCTCGACTGACTCTCCACCTCGGCATACTCCATCATCTCACTCGCTTCTGAACTACACGTGGCCTGATTCCTTTATAGCCAAGGATATGTAGGCAGCTCAGATACCAGGGCTCGGTCACATTCCCCTTTTCTCTTAGTTTTAGTCTCTCCAAATAAGGGTCGGGTCAAAAAACCTGTCTAGTCGTTCTTTGTCTGAAAACTCTTCGTATTTTTAGTCAAAGAGGGGCAGCTGCAGACATGTGATTTTTGACCCACCCCAAGATTTTTCATATTTTAGCACGTAAATATTTAATTTAGGCTTAATATAGCTATTTCAACCATTTTTCACTTCTTTACTTTATCTTCATCATAAAAATGGAAAATTACAAAAAATACTTTAGTATGTATCTTCATAATTCTTAAAAAAATAATAATAAATAAATAAATACAAAAATAGTACATTATTTTTATCTTTATATAATTTTGAAAATACAAAAAATATATAATAGTTTCATATTAGCTTTTGCATTGTGTAGTATTTTTATCTTATTTTAAAATGAGTCAATTAAGGTGTTGGATCATAATTTTAAGAGTTTTTGGAGCCCAATTCTTGGCCCAATTCGGATTAGTCCATTAAGCCTAGGGACCCTTCTAGACTCTTCTTTGGAACAAAACAAATAAAAAGGACCCTAACGACTTAACACAAAAAGACCTTTTTATCTCGAGTGTTGGTTGTAACACTTGCTCGACTTCTGTCCGTGTATTACTAAATATTTCATCAATCGAAAGTTCGAGTTTCAGTTTCCATAGTTGCTGAAGTTCTATTAATTGAAAGCAATTTCAGTTCTTAAGCTTCATTTTGCTGCTGGAATTTCGTTGATTTGAGTCCATTTTGGAGCTCGTTTGTGAGATCTGTTCGGAGCTGGGTATTGAAGTTTCGAGGTCGTCAAGGTCTGGTCCGTCGATTTCTCCATTGAAGTTGTGGCTGATTAGTTTTGCTCTGTTTGAATGCCCCTGTTTCGGTTTCTTTTAGTTCTGTTCAAATCGTTGTTGCCAGATGTTCTTGTACTCAACATTGCGAGAAGTTCTTATATCTGAAATTTCCTCTTTTAAAGCCGTTGTTGATTGCTGTTTGTTTCGGCTGAATTTATGGTTGAGCTCCAGCCTTAGTTTTTCAAACTTTTGAGCATTTCTCGTTCGTTTTGTTCCGGCAGTGAGGTAAACACAAGAAAACTCCTTTTATATCTGAGTATTCTTCATTGAGATGTGTTACTGAATTACTCATCTGTAGATTGGGGAACAGGATGGTTTGCTTGTTCAAATTTCGTTGTTGTTGTTATTGGATTTACCTTTTAATTACAATTTCTGAAATTCATCATGCTTGTTAAATTAGAATTGATCGGTTTCGAATGGTATAAGCAATGGCATAGCATTGATTTCTTAGCACAGCTTTGTTTCAAAAGTTATATGTTTAAGGCATAAATTCTGCGACCGAAGGCATAATTGCAAAGCTTGTTGTTCTCTCTATAATATTGTTATCTAATGTGAAGTTAGTGGCTGTAAATGGGATTGGAACAGGGTGATTCAAATAGGCCATTTGGCCAATGGAATTTGAGTAAAGCTTTTGGGATCTTGATTCTTCTAGCACATTGTGGGCCAAATGAGTTTAACTTGGAAGATATTAAGCCCAATAACTTTAGTATTCATTCATAAGTTAGTTTTTTTTTTAAAAAAATTAATAGTTATCCAGAGTTTTTCTAGTTTAGCCAGATAATTGAAGTTGTTAAAATTCAGTAGTTAATCATTACATCCTTCCCCACAACAATAATTTCCATAAACTCTCGGCCTTGCTTTAGTTGAGTACAATCCTTTGAAATTAGAATCGAAGTTTGTCATTAGTTGAATTTCTCATGGCCTTCACAAAGTTAAAACGCGTAGTTGTTTTAGGCGCGTTATTTTAATAATATTACCTTCCTAAACTCGGGTGCGCATTTATGTGACCCAAATCCAAATCTCAACAACGTTAAACAAAATGTGTCGTGGACCGTGGGTGCATTTATGTGATGTGGTTCAAGACATATTTTAAATGACGTTGCAATTTTCCTTTAAAAAATTAAATAAAGCGGTTAAAAGTTTAAAATTGCACATAGAATCAAAATGTATTAAAATCAGATAATAGGCCAATTATAACAGTTGAGCGACCGTGCTAGAACCACGGAATCCGGGAATGCCTAACACCTTCTCCCGGGATAACATAATTCCTTACCCGGATTTCTGTGTTCGCGGACTGTAATACAGAGTCAATCTTTTTCTCGATTCGGGATTTGAACCGGTGACTTGGGACACCATAAAATATCCCAAGTGGCGACTCTGATTTTTAAAATAAATAATCTCGTTTCGATCGTCACTTAAATTGGAAAAAACTTCGGTATACCCCTTTTGGGGGTAGTAAAAAGGAGGTGTGACAGTCCATATGTCACAAAGATGTATCTAACTTTAAGTAGCATTACTGGTGGCGAACGATAAAGAAGGACATTGTTATGCGTGTTTCACGGTGTTTGAATTTCCAGTAGGTGTGGACAGATTGACCAATTCTACGTATTTCATTCCAGTGTTAGCTTCTTACACATTAGAGAGATTAGCTTATATCTAGAGAGATTTTTTGCTTGCACGGTATGCTCATTTCTATAATTACAAACTGTGGCACTCAATTCACATTGCACTTTTGGAGAGCTATGCAAGGAAGATTGTGCACTCAAGTAGAGCTCATCATGACATTTAACCCAGAGACAAATGGCCAGTCCGACCGAATTATTCAGATCCTTGAGGATATATTGAGAGCCTGTATTATTGATTTTTGAGGGCTTTGGTGTAAGGCCCCGTAAAAGTTTGCTAGTGATCTAAGGTTTTATAGTGCCAAGGACAAGTTATGATGTTTAGAAGGTTGTAGAATAAGTTTCACACAGATTTGTGGACTGCACAATGCGTCGCGAAGTGTGTAGAAGAACCAGCTCAAGAGGATGATTCTTAGTCAATTATGCGGACCATGAATCAGCTTCGCTAACCACAGAAACGTCACAGAATGGGTCAGAAGAGTGCTAGTTTTAGAGATCTTTTCGTGGTGAACTTTCCGGAGTGCATATCAATTTCACGGACCGCAGATCTGTCATAGAAATAGTTGGGCCACTTAGGCAATTTTTGAAGGAAGAATCTATAGTCCAATGTGCGGACCGTAAAACATTATGCATACCGCAGATTCCCTGCATATCTGACCAGTCCATTTAGAAATTTTAGATGACCATTTAACGATCCCTTTTGCGAACTGTGTATTGAAGTGATCCCTTCAATAATGGAAATGTTAGATGGGAATTGAACATTGGATCTTATGGGATGGTGATTGGAAGTCATAAGCTTCCAAACTTGAGTTTGGGTATTACGGAGAGTAGGGAGAAGGTATTTTTTGATGTAGTTATTGGTTGGGTGTAGTTTGGGTGACCATGCATGTGTTGTTGAAGGTCACATAGTAACCAAGGGTAACTATGGGTGTGAATTGGTCATGGAAGAGGTGTGAAGGATGAGAAAGCACAATTACTAAGATGGTAAAGGGCTATTCCCCCTACGTATTTGACAAAATATTTAAATGACTTACACATAGAAATCCTCTAATGTTGGTCAAATTAATTTTTTGATGTAGATTGAAGTATAACGAGTGGAGCAACATAGTAGGAACCCTAAGGAAGTTTGATTAAGGTATGTTTGGCTAAACCCTTCCTATAGAATTTGATTTCATGAACTCCTTATAAACTCCAAGTTTGTTTCATTCAAGTTCCCTTTTTCCTTTGTTCTAAATTGCTTCAAATGATTGTATAACTGAATGCCTATGAACTCGATTCATGTTATATTTTCCATCGTTATGCTCTCTTCTTTGAAATTCATTTCAAGTGTTTAAGCTTTCATATACTTATGTGTTTGTAGCCATGGCTTTTCAATATTTTAAATACATTTTTCTGACTTTTGATTACCCATGACACATGAATGAAATGAAAGAATGAAGATGATATGTGGCCATTTGTGCCCAGAATGATAATGATGATGTATGTCGAAAAGTGTTAATAAAAAGAAAGGTTTCATGAAATGCTATAAAGAAATATTTTTGGGAATATTATTATGTAACCGAGAAGGTATAGGTTGCAAGGACCTATACATGAAACTACACATGTCGTGGAGGAAGACGATTGGGAATGAGTCCCTTCACACTATGATGCGATTATGACCCTTAATTGGGATGAATGTATTTCTAGAAAATTTACATCGATTCACATGGCATTATGGTGAGATGGCTTAACCGATCAGGTCGAGATCTAACACAATACCTTCTCCCAACTAAATCTATGCGACTGTTCTCCCAACTAAAGTGATAATGTTCCTATGTCGGTAACTATGTGACCTTCAATAACACATGCATGTGGGTGTGACTGTAGTTTGGGTGACCATGCATGGGGGTGCGACTGTAGTTATACATTCCTATGTCGGTAACTAATGATCTCCCAACTAAAGTGATAATGTTTATTTGAAAAGTTGTACTCATTTACATTCACTTCTTATGTTATAACTTCTTGTCGTATATTTCTATTGATTTACTCCTTCTTCCGTGCTTTCTCTCCTTATGTTGACATTTCATTTCATGTGAGGGTATTTAGCCTTTCATACTAGTATTATTCCATATGTACTAATGTCTCATTGCTGGGGATACTGCATCTTTAGTGGATACAGGTGGTACCTCAGCAGGCGGCACAGATTCACGATAGGAGTGCATCCTTTCTTTAGCTAATTATGGTGAGCCCTACTCTACACCAGGGCCCTCATATTGTATTTTGGTCTTCTTGTATATTTTTTTGGGTATCGTCAGGGCCTTGTCACCGGCACTTTCTTACTTTACTCATGACAGTTTAAGGATCAGTAGATAAATTGTGGGTCACGTATGTATGGGAAAATTATAAATGTTGTTGTCTTTTTTCTTCCACTTATAACTATTGGCTTGTAATGTTTTGTCAACTATTAATGGGATTCTTAAGTAATGGAAATCAGCATTGCGTATTTCTATGTTCTTTGTGGTCAATTGTGTATTATTTCTAGGCATTATGTCAACTTGCTTGACTGGATTACCTCGGTTGAGCGTCGATCCCTTTCTCGAAGTTTAGGGCGTGACAATTGGGATCAGTTCCTACCACTGGAGGAGTTTGCTTACAACAACAACTATCAATCCAACATTCAAATTGTGCCTTACGAGGCTTTATATGGTAGGCGGTGTCGTCTCCTATTTGTTGGTTTAACCCTGGCGAGGCTAAGATGTTGGGTACGTATTTAGTTCATGATGCCTTATATAAGATGAAGTTGATTCAGGATTGTCTTTGAACAGCGCGGAGCAGAAGAGTTATGTGGACAAAAAGGTCCTTGATGTGGCTTTTGTGGAGGGCGAGAAGTTACTTTTGAAAGTTTCGCCTATGAAGGGTGTGATGTGATTTGGGATGAAGGGCAAGTTGTGGACGAGGTTTATTGGCCCATTTGAGGTGTTAGAGAGAGTTGGGGAGGTTGCTTATAGGCTTGCTTTGCCTCCTAGTCTTTCAGGAGTTTAATTGGTATTTTATGTTTCTATTCTTTGGAAGTATCATGAAGACAAGTCACATGTATTGGACTTCATGTCTTCATCACAGTGCAGCTTGATGAGAATTTGACTTATGAAGAAGAGTCAGTAGCTATAGATCGGCACGTTCAAAAGTTGAGATATAAGAAAATTACTTCTTTGAAAGTTCTTTTGGAAAGGGAAGCCAACTGAGGAGGCTACTTGGGAGTCCGAGTCCGATATGAGGAGTAGATATCCACATCTTTTTGCCAGTTCAGGTACATTTCTATGTCCATTCGAGAAAGAACGTTTCTTTAAAGGAGGAAAGGTAACGACACAATCGGTCATTTTGAGTTATAGATTTTCATTTCGTGATTAGATAGCTTGAATAACTTTATTTGACGATTTATGACTTGTATGCACGGTTTGTTTTGATTTTCCAAAGGTTTAGATGTGTTTTGGTAAAGAAAATTGATTCTACAACTTTAATGTTATTGAAGTTGACCACGGTCAATATTCTTGGTAAATGACCTAGATCGGTGTTTTAATGATTCTGGTAGGTTTGTGTGATGATTATCTACTTGTACATATGTTTGGTTTCGGTTTCGGGTGACCCGAGGAAATTTCAGCGCTTAGAGTTGAAAGTTAGAAATTTTAGTTAAGAACATTGGAAGCTCCTTACATTTTTTGGGGACTGATTCTTGATTTTAGATTTTATTATGATGTTTAGAGCTTACGAGTGAGTTTGTGCAAGGTTTATATACTTGATTGAATGCTTAGACTGGGGACCGAGGGGCTGGGTAGGTTTTGAGGTGGTTTCCAGCAATTTTTGCACAAATTGCAGCAACTGTTCTTCTACTGGTTTACTATGCATCACGAAAGCGAAGCTTGTCTTGCGTTCGCAGAGGGATATTTGGGGCTAGGGAGGTTTAAACTCCGCGAATGTGAAGGGCATATCAAGAATGTGATGGCCTAGGAGGAAGCTAGCCTACACACACGCATAGGCTTCCAAGTGTTTAAAGGGCTGGATGGTTTTCTTCATCGCAAAAGCGGTAGGGGGAGTGCGAACACAGAGGCTTAGGGGGAATCAGTCTTCGCGAATGTGATGTTATATTGACCATTGGCCTTCGCGAACGCGAAAGGTGCATCGCGAATGCAAAAAGCACCTAACGCCCAGGTATATAAAGTGTTGAAAATCGGAATTTAGCATTTTTTCACTATTTCATTAGACCTAGACCACGAATTGAGGAGATCTTTTAGAGGATTTTCTCCCCAACTTCAAAAGTAAGTAATTTTAACTTAATTTGTATTTATTTTCATGATTTCCCTTATATTTCACTCTTAAATCTAGGAATTTTAAGCGTAAAAATTGGGGTTTTGGGGTAAAATTTAAGAGAGCTAATTTTGGAGATTTGGACCTCGATTTGATGTCCGATTTTGAAACAAATCAGATATTTGGACTTGGAGAAGAATGGGTAATCGAGATTTGATCTTAATTTCGGATTTCGACCAATTCGGCCCGGGTTGACTTTATATTGACCTTTCCAATTATGATAAAAATTGAACTTGTTTGACACTAGAATAATTTCAATGCTTGTTTTGACTTATTTGAGTATTAATTGACTAGATTCGAGTTTGTTTGGAGGTTTGTGATAAAGAGAAAGCAGTATTGGAGAGTTGATTTATTCCGGAAAGAGGTAAGTATCTTGGTTAACCTTGATTTGACAGATTTACGTTGTAACTGGGTCTATTTTCTACGTGCTATATGTGTTGGGGGCGATGTATATACAAGGTAACAAGTGTATATACGTTTGCGGTTAAAGCATGAAGGTAGATCTAGCCTTAGTCATGCCTTGTTTGCTTCATATATTATTTCTCCAACGTTTTAGATAGTTCATTGAGTTACATGTTTATTTATATATATATGCTATTAATTATATTCAGGCTTGTTGAGTAATTTGGACATTACGGACCTTGAAATGTTGATTCATCGATTTGTGCAAAGGTCATGATTATCTCTTATGCAATGTTTTATGCTTAATCAATCTCCTTGATGTTATTTATGATTTTCACCTTCCTTGGTATTGATTGACATATGCTTGGTGAAGATGAGAAATTATGCACTATGGATATTTTTGTGCTTTTGAGGATGAGAAATTATACACGACGCGTATTTTCGAGCTATGAGAATGAGAGATATTGCACGATGGGCGTTTTCGAGGGGTGAGAATGGGTGATATAAGCACTACAGGTATTTCTATGCTATTTTATAAGATATCTTTTACTCATTCCTTTGTTATGCAGATTTATGGACTCGGCTATGTTAATTCATAGTTATCATTTTATTTTGTTAAATTTGAGTTGTGGAGATAGATTTGGTTGTGACATTTGAGAAGCATATTGGTTATTTCGTTAGTTGATCCTTTTACTATCACTCATATTTACTCTTACAATTTCTCTTATTATTTATCTTGTTATTCTCTGTTTGTTCTCTTGCTTATTAATAGCATGTGTTTATAAAGTAGGTTGTATACGGCTAAAATTAGAGAGTCTGATTTTATGATCATTATGATATTCTATGGCCCGTGTTCAGAAGGCCCGAGGCACAGCTCAAGGTTTGACCCCGAGGGTTCCCTATGCTCGATTTCGGGGTAGCGCAAATCGATGGCTATCTTAGACGAGCAGGAAATTTCCAAAAGGCACGTAGTTACAGCTGACCAAGTCTGCAAGAATAGTACATGTCCGTACCATGACATTAAATAGTTGTACCAACTGCATTCCTTTGTAATAAATGCATATGTACTACGTTGGGATTCCCCTCCTATATAAAGGGGACCCTTGTCATTTTGTAAAGATGGATGATAATCAAAACAAGAACAAGAACATTCTCTGGTCTCTAACTTAAACACTCTCCATTGTCTTTCCTTTGATTTATTGCTTACATTTATTGTGTTTCATTGATTGTTCCTCATTTATTATTCATCATTGATCGTAAAGAGCCATTATTGAGGCCCTTGGAACTGTTAGTCCTTCATCGGTCATCCTCAGTCAAGCTCGTTAGCTAAACCTCGAGGCCCAGCCTAGGCCAGTCAGAGACCCCGGTTCGCAGCCATTCAGTTTGAATAACAACACTACCTCTTACTCTTATTTTACCTTCTTAGCTCATACTTAGCACCTATCGCTTAACAACTAACATTAAAATAAATCACGCATTTTTAGAACCACAAAATCAAATCTAATTGTAATAACCATTTTCAAGGTAAAAAGTTTGGCGCCCACCGTGGGGCTAAAATTAATAGTGATTGTTTTAGTGTTGGTTTACTGAAAAACACAAGTTATTCTTCACACTTTTTCTTGTCCAAGAATCTTTGATTTCAGGTCAAAATGTTTAACTCAGTGAATCCACATGAAAACAACGGTCCTGAGGACCATGGAGAGAATGGTGTAGCTGTTCCAGGCATCGGTGTTCCACTGCAAAACCCTGAGGATGCGCCAGAGCCAATACCCATGGATGTGGTCTCACGCAATGCCTAACACGTCGATGTAAGCTCCCACACTAACGGGGGTATATGCCGAGAAAACCAATAAGAAGCTCAGAGAACCCCAGATCAGGAGGAACGAGAGGTTAGCCTTCACGTCATTTTTGAGATGTTGCAGGTGCAACATCTGGTGATTGCTCAACTGTAAAGCCACCAAAAAACTCCAAGCACAACAACACCGGAAATGGCTCCGCGAGCCGTATAGGTACCGGGAAGATCGAGCAATAACGGGTCAGCAATCGACCCCGCTATTATGAAGATGCTCGAGGACCTTATAAAGAGGATTGAATCGGGCAAAAAGAAGATAGAAGCTAATGACAAAAAGGTGGAGACCTACAATTCAAGGGTCGATCAGATCCCGGGCGCACCCCCGATTCTGAAGGGTGTAGATTCAAAGGAATTCGTACAAAAGCCATTCCCGTCGAGTGTTGCTCCAAAGCCCATCCCAAAGAAATTCAGAATGCCCGATCTCCCGAAGTACAATGGAACCTCGGACCCCAATGAGCATATCACTTCTTACACTTGAGCTGTAAAGGGAAATAACCTGAAGGACGACGAGATTAAATCCGTCCTATTGAAAAAATTCGGAGAAACCCTATCAAAATGGGCCATTATATGGTATCACAACCTATCTCTGAATTCGATAAACTCATTTTCCATGCTGGTAGATTATTTTAAAAAGGCACATGCCGGTGCCATCAAGGTTGCTACAAGGAAATCTGACGTTTTCAAAATCAAACAGAGAGAAAACGAGATACTACAGGAGTTTGTATCTCGCTTTCAAATGGAACGAAAGGAGTTACCACCAGTCTCTGATGACTGGGCAGTGCAGGCCTTCACCCAAGGTTTGAACGAACGAAGCTCAATAGCTTCAAAGCAGCTAAAGCGGAACTTGGTTGAATATCTCGCCGTGACCTGGGCGGATGTCCACAACC